GTACTTATGGGGCTGCGAACCGCGAGGAACCGCGAACCGAACCGCGGGCGAACCGAACCGCATGAACCGCTCAACCGGTTCCAACCGGTTCACGCGAACCTAACCGAACCGAATAGAACCGCGAGAACCCTGAAAAATCCGAATGTGGAGCCTAGAATGTGCATCAGCTAGAAGGACTTAGAGATCCAGCCTGAACAGTCCACAGCCCTCTCGGTAACCCTGCCTCGCAAATGGTGACCTTGCTGTGCTCGGCAGCCTGCTTCTCGCGGCAGGACTTGTGAGCAGAACGGAGCTGCGGCAGCTCATCCTGGGCATACATAGGTAAGCCACAGCAAATTCGACACCCTAGCAGTTTAGGTATGCTCCGTGTCCGTGTGAATATCTAGATCTAGATGTAGCCGGTTGTGCATGTAGATAGAACGTTCACTGGTAAACCCGAGAGGGCGAAGTTGACATGCCCAGTGATCAGTGAAAGGTTGTCGTCGGACCTATGAAAAAATTGCTCCTGCAACACCTGTTAACTCCTACGTCCTAGCGTTTCATATCTGTTCAGGCCAAGCCTGTCCCCTGCCCGAAGAAATCCAAATCAGAAAGGGCAGCGCAACTACTGCATTCTACTTTCATGGGCAGTACAATCCTTCCCCCTGCTCATGTCTGAGGTGGCAAACGGTGTTGGCTACATCGTGCCGGTACACGCGTCACACGATATGTACTTACATGTGCACGTACCCAAAAACATTACATGCATGCAAACAGTTAGCATGCGGCACAAACACAACTCGAGGAGAAGGCGCGAAGGTGCAAGGCAAGAGCTCAACTTGCAGTGGAGCAGCTCTGAGGGCGTTTGGTGCCTCCATGTCACCTTTGCGCCCAAGTCAGCTTGCAACATGGCAACTGGCCTAAGTGCCCTTCGTTCGCACAATGTGGGCTTCACACGACACGCTCCTGACTCCTGACATTCTGGACTTCCTGGAATTGTCGTAAAAGGTGCCCCAATTCAATTCACTTCCTGGCATCATCGTAAAAGGTGCCCCAATTCAAGTCTTGGACTAGAACGACAAAGAACGACCCAAGCTCGAGACAGCCCCTAAATCCTAAACCGCAAAAACTGTCCTTCCAAAAAAAAAGCAAGCATAAAATATGATGGTATAAGCCTCTCTTGCGCAGCTGAAGAGCTCAACAGGTCGGCTTTGCACTCCACGGCTGTCGCGTACGCACGCTTCAGCTTCTGAGCCTTGCTGTGGGCTTGGGTAGTAGGAATGTAACAGACTCAACTACAGAGAATCATTATGCTGTTATCGTAGCAAGGCAAAGGCTGATGTTAGTGGTAGCAATGGGGACCAGCATTGCCACAACACATCAAGAGCCCGTGAGAAACGATTGAAGCGAAACCGCAAGTGCACATCGATGTGCACAGCGGCTCACTATGTAAAGACTGTCATGCCATGCCGCCCGCTATCCAATGGTAGTGTGTGAGAAGGCATTTCCAACCATCGTAAATACGTCGTCGCGGTGTTGGTAATCAAGAAGTTCCGAATACACAGAAAGCACACACAAGAACACACACACACACATGTATATATGCACATAAATGCACCATAGACTTTCATCCGTGTACATGCATACATACATACATACATACATACATACATACATACATACGTACGCACATACACACGTGCATGCGAGAATACATGCATGCACACATGCATACATAAAATGCACACCGTACACCTCGACATGACATGCAAATGTACGCACAAACAGGTTCATCCTCTGTACATGTCTATCGATACATACATCCATAAAAGTATATTGGCATACATATATATATATATAGAAACATCTTATACATGTATGTAAACACACATCCATACATACATACATAC